GTCAGACACGGAAGCCAACAAAGCCAACACCTTCCATTTATGGGATATTCTTTTTTTATTATTTAGTTGAGGGATTTTTGTTTTGTTCCTGTTACGTAGCCCAGGCTAGCCTCAAAATCAGGTCCTGAGCTGGGTGTGGTGATGCCCACCTGTGATCCCAGGTCTCAGAAGGCTGATGCAGGAGGATCACTGTGAATTTGAGGCCAGCCTGGGCTGCACAATGAGTTCAAGTCCAGGCTGAACTACACAGGGAGACTCTGTTCTAAAAAAATAAAACAAAGTGACCGAGGATTTAGCTCAGTGGTTCCACCACCTCCCTCGCAAGCACAAGGACCCGAGTTCAAGCCCCAATACCAAAAAAAATAAGCAAACAAAGAAAACTTTTAAAATTAAAAAATAGGGCCGGGGCCAGGGATTTAGCTTAGTGGTGCCGCTGCCTGCCTCACAAGTGCAAGGTCCTGAGTTCAATCCCCGGTACCAAAATAGGGCCAGGGATTTAGCTCAGTGGTTCTGGCGCCTGCCTCACAAGCACAAAGTCCCAAGTTCGATCCCCAATGCCAAAAAAAAGAACAACAACAACAACAAATAAATAAATAAATAGTAAAATTAAAAAATAAAACAGAGCCGTTGGGTATACTGGTGCACATCTGTAATCCTAGCTACTCAGTAGAATGAGGAAGGAGGATGGCAAGGTCTAGAACAACCTGGTCAACTAACCAAGACCCTGGTCTCGAAAAAATGAAAAAGGTAGGGTTCGGGAATTTAAAATAGTCAAAATATGTTATATCCATGTCTCCAAAATGAGCATCATTATTCTGGGCTGCAAACATGCACTAATAGGGAAAGGCAAACCCACACTTCACTGTGATTTTATTTTACCCCACTCCAAATGGCTCCCATCAAGAACAGGAACACAATAAATGCGGGCAAGGCTTGGGGTGCAGGGGAGCAATCCTCTGCTGCTGGGGAATGTAAGTGGAACAGCCACTGTGGAATCAGTATGGAGGCTCCTCAGAGAACTAAGAGCAGCTGCCACGGGGTTCGGCCCTACGCTCCCAGGTGGGCCCTGGAAGCAAGTAAAGTCCGCTCCTGTAAGCGCTGCCTAGGGCCCACGTTACTGTGGCACAATTCACCCAGGCTGAGATACAGAAACCACCCAGGTGCCCATCAGCAGGCGATGGGGTGTGGAGGACAGTGGAGCATGACCCAGCCACAGGGAACTAAACCCTGTCATTTGCAAGAAAGTGGACAGTCGGTTAGAGAGCACCCTGCTGAGTGAAATAAACCGATGCAGAAATCCGACACACATGGCGTGTTCTCCCTAAATTGGAATCCAAAGAGGGTGTGGACAAAGGAGAGGGGAGGAAGGGAAGGAGGGCAAGGGTGGGCAGTGTGGGATGGGAGTGAGGAGAACACAGAACCTCCCACAGAGCGAGGAACTGGGGCGGGCGGCCAGGCAAGAGGGCCACAGAGACAGAGTGACCACAGCATGTAATTGCCTGCAGGGATCTGCCAAGCCACACCATTAATCTGTGTGTTCTCAATCATTTTCTGTCCTCACTTATAAAATGCTTCCCTTTTTTTCCACAAAAATTAACTAATAAACTGAGTATAGGGGTGCATACCTGTAATCCCACCACTTGGGAGCCTGAGACAGGAGGATTGCTCCAAGTTAGAGGCCAGCCAGGCTACATAGTGAATTCAAGGCCCGAACACTTCTTAGAAGTTGTCAAATTTATTTCAAAACAGATTTTTGAAATATGCTTTCTATATCCTTTTAAATTCTGTAAAATCTGTGGTAACGTCTCCTAGATCCTGATATTGTAATTTTAAAAATGTATAACTGATGTTGTGTAACAGGAAGAAAAGGTCCAAAGGTGCAGGGGAAGTGGGAGAGGTAGGGGAAAGGAAAAAAGGGAAAAGAAAAAATATGAGAAAAGGAAAAAAATGGAAACAAGGTCTTTGCAAATAGGGAAGGGTGGAGGGGGTGAAGGGACAGCAGGGGAAGGGAAAAAAAATAAGAACCAAGATGCTCATGTAATGGTACAAGATCTCAGTGATGAATGTAACTGTATTTTATACCGAAAATGTGCCAATAACTTAATGGGAAAATAATAATAATAATAATTTAATGGGAAAAATTAAATAAATAAGAAAGAAAGAAAGAAAAGGGGCTGGGCGTGGTAGTAGATACCTATAATTCCAGCACTCCAGAGGCTGAGGCAGGAGGACCTCCAGGAGTTCAAGGCTGGCCCCTCTCCATGGTAAGTTCAAGGCTAGCCTGATTTATATAGTGAGACCCTGTCTCCAAAAAAGTATATTTAATTATAGTATATTGGTACAATTGTTCTGAGTTGTTAATCTCATACTCTACCTAACTCACCCTTTTTTTTTTTTCAGTAGTATGGATTGAATCCAGGGCCTTAGCACTGAGCTACATCCCCTGTCCTTTATTTTTTATTTTGAGCCTAAATTCTGAGTTGCCCATCCCATCCTGGGCTCAAACTTGGGACCCTCCTGTCTCATCCTCCCAGAGTGCTGGATTACAGCTGTGCCACCTTGCCTGGGTTCATCTTTTTTTTCAAACGAGGTCTTTCCATGTTGCCCAGGCTGCCCTGGGACCCCCGGGCTCAAGTGATCCAAGGCAGCAGGCGCCATCCCGGTCCCCGGGCTACTAGGCCCCCAGATGGCAACGTGGGAAGGCCCAGCCCCCTGGTTCCCAGCCCTGGCTCTGTTTACATCTCTTGAATGTCAGAGAAGCCCAGAGCTGGACAATACTTGAACTGGCAAAAACATTTTGTTTCTGATCCTGGGGATGGAACCCAGGGCCTCGCTCCCACAGAGCCAGTGCCCACCACAGCACCCTGTCCGCGCCTGCAGAAAGAGGCTTTACTCAGGGCTGTCCAGAAGGCACGGAGACCCCAGTGTGAAGCAGGCCCCGAGCACAGCCTGGCCACTGGGGACCACAACCAAGGGACCACTGTGGGTCAGGGGATGGACAATTCCTGCCAGGACACACAGGGGAGTGAGGGGTTCGGCAGAATCGACCCCCAGGACTGCTGAAACCAGCTGGGCCGGAGACGCCAGCCGGGGGAGTGGCCCCAGGGCCCAGGAGGCTCTTGCTGGAACCGGATTTCCTAGGAGCAGATCCCGTGAGCAGAGACTGGACCTGGGAGGTGTGCCCCACTGTGCTCGCCCCTCCTCCCCTGCACCCCTCACCGGTCTAACACAGTCTGCACCTCTCTTCCTGGGGGTGCCCCCCGCTGTCAGGTTCCCACAGCAAGGAGGATGCCTCACCCGGAACTCCAGGTGCAGGAGGGCAGGAGGCCCAGTTGGGGTCCCGGAGCCCCCACTCTGCTTCCATCCTCAACTGCTGTGGTTCTAGGGTCCCCACGCCCTTACCATGTATCTGGGCAGAGCTCCCGAATCCCGAAGCCCCATCCTCAGCCTTAGGTTGGCCCCATTACCAGTTCACAGAGGGGGTGATCTGGACTGAGGGGCTCAGTCTGTGGCCAGGGAGTCCTAGGAGCTGGGGGCAGGAAGGGGTTCCTGGGGCAGCCTTGTTCAGGCAGCCCCCAGTAGGGTGGAGACAGACTTTTAGGGCCTTTGCCTTCTGACCTCTGCCTACACCAAAACAGAAAGGGCAGCCTGGGGCCAGAGTTTCAGATGGGAATTAGGAAAGAGGTCCGGTGACTGCTGTGGGGTATCTGTCTTCCAGGTCCGGAGACGGGCTGCACTGGATGAAGAGCAGGCAGCAGGCAAAGGGGACATCGTGGAGGTGTGCAAGGACCAACACCTGTGGGCATCTCTTGGGGCCCTGAGACTAGGGCGAAGGTTCCAATGACCGCAGACCCCAAACAGAAGTAGACCCCCCAGGGAAGGGACCCAAGACAAAGAACCACATCTGCCCAAGGAGCTGAGCCAGGGCTGGGGAGCTGGTGGCAAGAGCACGGGGTGGCAGCGGAGAGACCAGGTGGACTTCAGAGAAACAGGAAAACGCAGCAGGCCCACTGGCAGGTGTCCTGCAGGTGGGGACAGCGACCTCAGAGGAGTAGGGCACGGGAGGGCTCCCGGGAGCCTGGAAGATGCTGAGGAGAGGCTGGGAGTTGTAGGAGGGAGGCAGACTTCTTCAGGGAGACAGAGAGGAAGCCGAAGGAGAGTTCCTTCTGGAACCCGAGCTGCCTAGAGAACTTTCTAGAAGGAGGCACTACCATCAGTGTCTGGATAGCGAAGCCAGGAAAGCCGAGGCCTAGATGCTCCCTTGGGGTCTGGACGATCGGGACTGCCTCGTGAGCGGAGGGGCTGGAGAAGGGCGCGGAGGGCGGCTGGGTTTAGGGGGCAGTGGGAGGAGGACCCCTGCCTGGACCAGGCTGTGGCGCAGAGGCGCAGGGCTTCTGGAGTCCTCAGTGGAGGAGGCGCTGGGGGCGGGGCAGGAAGAGACAGAGGCAGGGCGGGGGTGGCAGTGCAGGAAGGCCAGGGACAGGACAAGGTCTGAGACCTGGGGGTGACCCAGAAAGGGCCAAAGGGGCTCCCCTGTTCCGAGACCTCCGGAGCAGCCACACGCCCGACCCCCTCCCGCCTCCACCTGCAGTGCAGTCACCCGGAGCCGGAGCCGGGTGGGGAGAGAAGAGGAGTCGGTTTTTCCGGGCAATCAGGAAGCTGACCGGGACGCGTCGGGAGGAAGGGGCGCCGAGCCACACACCCACAGGTGTCGCCGCGTGGAGCTGGGCCCCTGTCCCTGGTCTGCGGGCCGCGGTCCCCGGGGCGAGGGGCCAGGCACCCGGAGTCGCGGAGGAGCCTGCCCATCGCGTGCGAGGGTCCGCGGGCCACGCGGCAGCTGGGCGCGGGCGGAGACCCCCGGCCCCGCCCCCGCCGCCCAGCGTCGCCGCCGGGAAGTTCGCGCGTCTGGAGCGGGCGCAGAGCGAGCGCCTACCCTGCGCCCGAGGACCCGGGGACCCAGCCCGAGGGCGAGGTGAGCACCTGGCCGGACAGTCCCGAGCCGACCCCGCAGGCGGGAGCGCGGAACGGGGGGCGGGAGCTGGCGGGGGGCTCCTGGGCCGGCGGTCTCTGGGTCCTGGGTGTCGCCATCCTCGCTCGGGGAGGGACCGCTCCGTTCCACCGCAGAGGGGCACCCTCCGGGTTCCCGCACCGTCGGGCAGGGTTGGGGTCCCAGTTCCTCTCCCGACCCTGGGCTTCGGATTCGCCCTTTCTGCGCCCCTACCCCGGGCGCGCACCCAGCTCCGCGGCCGCACCCGGCCCGGTCCTCGGGGACGCGTGCTCCCCTGTCCAGCGCGCCCCTGCTCAGCACGGCCCGGGGGTACCCGACTTGCCCCGACGGGTGAGGGGCGCTGGCATCCGCCTGGCCGGCTCTTCTCGCGGCCCGCACTTGTGTCTTTGACCCGGGCAGGCGCCGGCCACTTCCCTGCCTCCTCTCCAGTCTCTCCGGGGGCCCCGTCCCTCTCTTCTGGCCTCGGGGTTCCTGCCCCGACCCCAGACCGACTGACCCCTCACCTCCTGGCGCCCGCCTCCTCCTCCTCCGAGGGCCTGCCAGGGCTGTTTTCCCGTCCTCCGTGTTGGGGACATGGTGTGTGGGGGAGCTCGCTGGCCAGCATCCCAGGCCTGCCCGCCCCAAAGGGGCTGGGGAGGAGGGAGGCTTTGCCAACAGCCCTAGCGCCCCAGGTTGGGACCTTCTTTGGTTTCACAAAAACATCCCCCCTTCGGGCCAGCCGGGGAGTTAGCTCAATGGTTTCGCCACCCGCTGCGCAAGAGCAAGGACCCGAGTTTGATCCCAGGTACCAAAAAACAAACAAAAGCCCATCTCCCCTTCTACTTCTGACCTCAGGGCTCTGGATTGTCTGGGGTACCCTCCCTGGCCCTCCGATCAGTGCCTTCCTTGGCTGATAGAAGCCACTTAGTGTCGCTCAGCCACTCCCACTGGAAATCGGTGGGACACTGGCTGAGCCACCAGCACCCGAGTCACGTGCCCTGCTGAAGCTGGTGTGGGGCAGTGCCAGCCCAGCAAGCAGCAGGGGCAGCAGGGTCGGTCCAGGTGGCCCGTGTGGCTCCACGGGCGTGTACGGAGGAGGGGATGTGCAGCAGTAGGGCTGGGGGAGTCGCTGGCAGCCTGCATCTCCAGCCCTGGGTCTGCAGCCTTAGGGGGAGCTGTGCGGTCCAAGAAGGCGGAAGGGTAGGGTCCAGGTCTGCGCTTCCCACCCGTACATGCTCCTTGCCCGGGAGGGTGTTAAGGTGGAAAGGGGCCAGGCCCAGCGCTCTGGCCAATGGGAGCCCTGGATAGCACCTCCACATCTGGCTCCTGGTCATCCTGGGGCTCCAGTCCACTCACTCGTTGGACAAACATTTGTCATGCGGCTGCTGGCTGTCTGGGTGTCGGTGTTTATCCCACAGCGGGGGGGCTGGACACACGCAGATGGCCGTCCTTCCCAGCAGGGGACAGAGCCCTTTGCCCTCTGGCAGCCGGCGTTTGCTCATGCGCCCTGAGGAGGGGCAGAGGCACCCACCTGGGAGGTGACACTGCCTGCCCTCGGTCCCAGGCTGTTCCCTAGGCCAGCTGGCGTCTGGTGCTCCTGGTGGGGACCCTGGAGCTCAGCCTCCACAGCTGAAAACCCACTGGCCGAGTCCCCTCCCCATCAGGCGTGTCCGGAAATGTTACCCGCACTTCCCCACCCCCGGGGGGGCATCACCCACTTCTGACCAGTGGGAGGGGCCGGGCCTCTGTTTCAGGGTAGAGGCGTGAGTCTCTGCAGTCCTTCCTCCCCTCACCCTACCCAGGGGATCCCAACCCTACCTTCCCCACCTTCTTTCTTCTAGGAGGGGCTGTTTCCTTTTTGTTTTTTTGAGACAGGCTCTCGCTCTGTAGTTCAGGCTGGCCTCGAACTCACTGTGTAGCCCAAGCTGGCCTTGAACGCACAGCGATCCTCCTGACTCAGCCTCCTGAGTGCGGTGCCGGGATGGGATCCCAGGCGTGTGGCTCCCTGCCCCACCCTTCCCCACCTTCTGGGGCGGGGGGGGAGACATGCAGAATGCCCATCCTTGGCCAGCTGCCATGAGGAAAGGTCAGGGAGCAGCCCGTCGCCCTTCACCGCCGCCTCTGGACCCTGCTTTTCTCCAGGTGCTTCCGGACTAAGGGACCCCGGTGGGTGGCTTCCACGTGGCGCCAGCAGCCCCGTCCCTTCTGCACAGTCAGCTCTGTGGGTCCTGATAGTCTGGCAGCAGCAAGGAGGGCCTTGGCTGCTCCCATTTCCCACAGGGACACTGGACAGAGCTGGCCCCAGGGGCACAGGGCCTCCTCGCTGGGCTGTCCTCCCCCGTGGGGCTGCTACCCCTTGCACGATCCAGGGCTGCATCTTCCTGTGCAGGGCCCCGCCTACCTCTTCAGTCCACGAACCCTGGCCACCTCCTGTCCCCTCTGTCCCCAACGCCTGCCCCCCCAGGCCCCCTGGGAGACCTGGAGCTGAGGGCCGCAGCAGCAGCAGCAGCAGTGGACTATCCCATCAGATCAGAAGACGACTCCCTGGTGACCCTTCCCCGACTACCTGCTGTGGGCTCCTCCCCGGCCCCAGCCCATGGTGCCTGGCTCACCAGGACCTGGCCCTGCCTCCCATCTGTGCCTGTGTAACCAAGGGCCAGGCTCGGTCCCGTACAGCCCCAGTGCTCACCCTCAGCCGTGGTGCACCCCTCTCCTCCCTGCACTGTCTTCTGTGCTGTCTGTCCGTCTGTCCACATGTCTCCCTCCCTTTGCCCATCACAGCCCTGGGGCCTCGCAGACAGGCCCGGGGAGTGCTGCTTCTCCCAAGGGACTCAGTCGGAGCAAAAGAGGGCTCTGCTGCAACCTCAAGCTCCCAGGACCGGGCACGGTGGCACCCCCCAGTCCCTTGTACGGAGGGGTCCCTTTTCTGGGCTCCAGCCTCTGATAGTGCCGATCTCAATGGAATGTGCTGCCAGCCAGCCTGTGGTGTTTCAGGCACCCAGAAGCCCTGCCTGAGCCTCGCCTGAGGCTGTGGGGCCATGTGGGCAGGCTGGAGTGTGTTCCACACACCTGGCCCCTGCATGGCCGGGAGCTGACCTGCCCGTGGGGGCCAAGTGACACCCCAGGCGGGTTGCCTGGCCGACCCACTTTCTCATGGAGTGTGGCGAGGAGCGTGGGGCTGGCTGGACCCTGAGGTGCTGGCAGGCTGAGGTGTGCAGCTGAGGAGGCTGGTGTCCCGCTGTGCTTTGGGCCTAGCCACCAGCATGGGGGGTTCTGGGACCGTCAGAGCCACCAGACGGAAACCCCCAGGTAAAGCCACCGACAGAACCACGAAGTCCTGGAACGGGTGACCACCCTTGTGTCCCCTCCCTCCCAGACCCCAAATCATCAATAGGGCTGGTTTTAGGGGACCAGGACGCACCTGGCTGTGACTCTCACTGGATGCTGCTGCTCAGACCCTCTGCTCCCTGAGGAGGGGCGTGCACACCCCAAGGACCCAGGTGTAAGGCCCCTGGCAGATGTAGGGGCAGCAGCCCAGAGGCATGCCCCCTGCCCAGCCCTGCCATCCCCACCTCCTGGTGCTACTCCTGCTGGCCTGCTGGGTGAGTGCCGTGTCCCTGACCCCACCCAGCCCAGGGCACCACCTGCCTCTATGCTGCCGGCCAGCCTGTTATTCCAGTTGCCCCTCACCTGCCCAGCCACAGGCTCCCTCCGCTCAGGTGATGGACTTCTTGTTCGAGAAGTGGAAGCTGTACAGTGACCAGTGTCACCACAACCTGAGCCTGCTGCCTACCCCCACCGGTGAGTCCCAGCCGCCCCAGCCCACCTTGTGGGGAGCTTCCTGGTGCTCCTGTCACCCAGCCCCCGCTGCACTCACAGGAAGGTGACCCAGCAGCTCACACAGGCTGGGGCTGGGGCTGGCCACAATGCTTAGCGGGAGCTGGTCACCCAGGGCTGAGGAGAGACTGGAGCAGGGGAGCCAGGGTGGGGGCCCTGTCCAGAGGCAGGGGCTGATCCGCGTAGGCACAGGGAGAGCAGGTGGACAGCTCTGGGGTTGGCACTGGACCCGGGTGGATGCCAACAGCATTGGGGTGCAGCTCCCTGAGAGGAAGTTGCTCAAGAGGGCAGGGCAAGGGAGACCCCGGCATGGGGACCCAAGACGGAGGTCCCCTAGGGAAGGTGCCTGGGCACGTCAGGACAAGGGTGGGCGGAGGCCAAGGGGGGCACGCCGGGTCCAGGAGAGCCAGGTGGCTGGGGCCCTGGGCCTGGCCCAGGTCAGGAGGTAGCAGCTCAGAGCTGCAGGCTTGCAGAAGAGGTGGCCACGTTCAGGGGGCTCGCAGGAGAGGGAGAGAGGCTCCTTACTGGCCAGGCCCTGCTGAGGAGCCCCTGGCCCTGCCCCACCTCCGCAGAGCTGGTCTGTAACAGAACCTTTGACAAGTACTCCTGCTGGCCAGACACCCCACCCAACACCACAGCCAACATCTCTTGCCCCTGGTACCTGCCCTGGTATCACAAAGGTAACCCTGGAGCACCTGGGGTGCTGAGGGGTGAGCCGGGGGAGGGCTAACCGGAGCCTGCCCCACACCCCAGTGCAGCACCGCCTGGTGTTCAAGGAGTGCGGGCCCAACGGACAGTGGGTGCGGGGGCCCAGGGGGCAGCCATGGCGCAACGCCTCACAGTGCCAGATGGATGACCAGGAGATCGAGGCCCAGGTCAGCCCTGGTGGGCCAAGGGAGGGGGCAGTGGGCGTGGCCCCCGCCCCCCCTGACCAGCTGCTGGGGTTTGTAGAAGGAGGTGGCCAAGATGTACAGCAGCTTCCAAGTGATGTACACGGTGGGCTACAGCCTGTCCCTGGGGGCCCTGCTCCTCGCCCTGGCCATCCTGCTGGGCCTCAGGTACTACACGTGGCTCGAGGCCAGCATGGGCAGCCCCGGGGGACGGGGCAGCCAGCACCGACTCGCTGTCCCCGCAGCAAGCTGCACTGCACGCGCAACTACATCCACCTGAACCTGTTTGCATCCTTCGTGCTCAAGGCGGGCTCTGTGCTGGTCATCGACCAGCTGCTCAAGACCCGATACAGCCAGAAGATCGGAGATGACCTCAGTGTCAGCGTCTGGCTGAGCAATGGGGTGAGCGCTGGTGTCTGAGCAGGGTGAGTGGGGCCTGGGAACCCTGCTCACACTGTATCCTCCCCTGCGAAGGCAGTGGCCGGCTGCCGTGTGGCCGCAGTGATCATGCAATACGGCGTCGTGGCCAACTACTGCTGGCTGCTGGTGGAGGGTGTGTACCTGCACAGCCTGCTGAGCCTCGCCACCTTCCCCGAGCGGAGCTTCTTCTCGCTGTACCTGGGCATCGGCTGGGGTGAGTGGGCTGGTGCCAGGAGAGGGGAGACAGGGCGGCCAAGGCTCAGGACTTCAGCCGCTGCCCCCTACAGGTGCGCCCCTGCTGTTTGTCATCCCCTGGGTGGTGGTCAAGTGTCTGTTCGAGAACATCCAGTGAGTATGAGCAGATCCGAGGCTGGCCTGGGTGGCCGGGGCTTGGCACTGGGCTTGTGGAGCATCTGGGGAGGCAGGGCACACTCTGGCCAGAGGTGGTACAGGGTATGTGCAGGCCCAGTGCCTGGGGATGGGGTCATGCGTGACCTCCTTTCCTTTTGTGGGACACTCATTAGATCCCTGCAGAATCCAGGGAGGGGCGGGGGACGGGTGCACCTCCAGGGTGTAAGCAGCCGCCCCGCAGGTGTTGGACCAGCAATGACAACATGGGCTTCTGGTGGATCCTTCGAGTTCCTGTCTTCCTGGCCATCCTGGTGAGGAAGTAGGAGGGGGCACTGGTGGGGCTCCCCACGCCCTCCTTCCTGGGATCTGGAGCCCACAGAGAGGCAGCATCTGCTAGGACGGAAGGAAGGGGCAGGCAGGCAGGCCAGAGCCGGTGTTGTCCAGGATGCCAAGCACCCTCGGCTGCTGGCCAGGCTGCTCTCCCTTGGCTGGGTGCCCGCCCGCCCCAAGGCCACATGGCCCAGGGCCCAGCTGGCCACAGCCCCACCTGCAGGGGGGCCGGGGGGGCCTCCGGCCGTGGAACGGTCCAGGGTTTCTCTGACCTGTGTTCCCCTCACAGATCAACTTCTGCATCTTTGTCCGCATCATTCACCTGCTGGTGGCCAAGCTGCGGGCCCGCCAGATGCATTACACTGACTACAAGTTCCGGTGGGTGGGGCTGGGGTGGCCAGACCTGAGAGCTAGAGTGGGCTTGGGAATGGGGCTCTTCGGCCCGCGTGGGCAGTGTGTGGCCCAGGCGTGCAGAGTGAAGTGCTCAGGGTGCTCCCCCAACAGGCTGGCCAGGTCCACCCTGACCCTCATCCCTCTGCTGGGTGTCCATGAAGTAGTCTTTGCCTTCGTGACGGACGAGCAGGCCCAGGGCACCCTTCGTTCCGCCAAGCTCTTCTTCGACCTCTTCCTGAGCTCCTTCCAGGTGACCACCCGCCTGCCCCTGAGCCCCTGGGGACAGGTGCTGCCCCTGACCACCCTCTTTCTCCAGGGCCTGCTAGTGGCTGTTCTCTACTGCTTCCTCAACAAGGAGGTAGGTTGGGGCTCAGGGCCCTGCGGTCTTCCCTCTCGCCCCCATTTATGCACTGCATGGGGCTTGCCTGGCTGTGGGGCCCCTGGGGCTGAAGCTGGCTCTCGGGAGGTGGGTGGCAGGCTCTGGGACAGGTCTGAGCCCCTGGACCCACAGGTGCAGGCAGAGCTGTGGCGGCGCTGGCGGCGCTGGCACGAGGGCAAAGCACTGCTGGATGAGCGCATCACAGGCAGCCACTCAGCACCAACAGGGCCCAGCCACAGCCCCCTCTGCAAGAACCTTCAGCTGCTGAAGGGGGACAGCAATGGGGCCAGCCAGGACCCCTCTGCAGAGACCCCCTTGGCCAATGGCCTCCCTGGATTGGCCGAGAGCCCCTTATGAGGGAGGCTCTGCTGGAGCCCAGGCTGGGGCTGGACCCAGGCACCAGAGAGCTATCCCAGAACAGCCCTGAGCTGGACGCCTGGCTCCACCGTCCCCGGGCCCTCCTCCCCACACCTTCCCTGACCCTGGGGCCCACGGCAAGATGACTTAGTGTGGCAGGGGAGCTGTGCCATGACTGCAGGCATGGCTTCCCCTGTGTGTTGGTGTCCTCTGTGTGTGAAAATGTGTGTCCTCCAATAAACAGCTCAAGTGGTGCCCACACAAAGGTCCTGGAGAGCTGGGTTGGAAATGCCCTGGGCAGAGGAGCGTGGGCAACTGGGCCAGGCCCATGCAGGAGTAGCAGCAATGGCCCAGCCTGCTCACTCCTTCCAGAGGGCTCCTCCAGCACCCCCGTCCCACAGACAGCTGGAGCATCCCCATCCCCGAGCAGCTTCTGGCCGCCATTCCATGCTCTGGGGCCTTCTTTGTCCCCAGATCCCCAAAGACCCTTTTAGCAGCAGAGGGATGTGAAGGGGGATGGTGGCTGAAGGAGGCCCCTGGCATCACAGTCCTCCTGCCAGTCCCAATTGAGCACCGAATTTACGGAGAAGGTGTTTTCCAGACAGCCCTGGAGGCAGTGAGAGGACCAGCAGGTTGAAATGGAGAAACGGGCCCCCAGATCACCCTAAGTCCAGGTGAAGGGGCAGTGGGGTTGCCCAACCCCTCCATAGCCCATCACTCATTAGAGAATGAGCTGCCGCATGTGCTGGGCACAGGAAAAGCCAGGAGATGCTTTGGGGTGGAGCCCCCATATCTAGGCACATCCCGATCCATTGCTGCAGAGGCACAGGGTGTGTAATGTTCCTCATTCTGTCCCCAAGACCATGGGGCCCAGGGATACAAGCCCAGAGGGAGCTCCGGGGTGGGGTGCGGAGGATCTTGCCAGGTGCCCCTGCAAGGAGAGGCTGGGCCCTGGGTGAGGGGTGCCCTTCAGTCAGAGCTGGGCTAATTGGAGCAAATGGAAGGACAGGAGGCCTCTTAGGAAAGGTAAACAGAATTACCCGTCGGGCGCTGGGGCTCTCCGAGGGGGGCCCTCACCCAGCTACCCACTGCAGGGTGGGGGAAGCAAGGAGGGAGGGCCAGGCACAGGCTGGTTGGGAGTGGTACCTTCGAGGGCCCAGGTGGGATTCGAGGCCAGGGGTGGCACAGAGGCTGCGCCTGCTGGAGGCCTGACTTTGGGGCTTTGGGCCAGCTCCCAGCCCAGCCCAGGTCCTGCCTCAGCCTGACACCCCAGCCCGGGGTGCCCACGTGGGCACAGGTGTGCTCCGCACTAGCACAGGAGGGTGTAAATTCTCCTTCACGCCAGCTGAGCTCGAGGTTGAGGACTGCCCTGGGGAGTGTGCCACTCACCTGGGGCCTGCTGACAGCCCTCCCCATCCCCAGTCCCTCTGCCCTTGTCCTCCTTCGCCCCATCCCTCTCCTGTTCCCAAGGGAACTGGAGTAGGCTGGTACAGTCGGGGACCTGGCAGGACCGGACTCACTTGGCCAGCAAACACTGACCCTGCCCAGGTGGCTGCAGGTGGACAGGTGGAAGAACTGATTTCCCACTCAGCCCAGCACCCACCAGCATCAACCACTCTGGGAGACCCCATGCTGCTTCCTCATCTCCCCCCTTCTCCCCCACCTCACTCAGCCCTGCGCCCCTAGAGAAACCCATGGGTGCTGGGTGCCACCCCACGGAGGTCGGAGGCTGCTGTGCGGGGACATGGATGCCACCAAGATGAGGGTAGAGACTAAGAAAAGGTATGCAGTAGGATAACCAAGGGTCAGATCTGGGGATGCAGGCCGTGGGCAGCTGGGGAGGGACCTCAAGTCCAGCAGAGGGCTCAGGAGGGGCACAGGAGGCTGGCCCAGACCAACACACAGAGCAGGGACTCAGAGCACCAGGGGAACAGTTCAGGAGCAGTATTCAGACTCCTCCTCCCATGGCCTCCTACACCCACACTTCAGGCCCAGCTGCCCACCCAGCTCCTCCTGGGGGCCCCCACGGAATTTCATGTTCCACCGTCCATGGGGTCTCTCACCTCAACCCAGCCCCTTCCCACTGCCACCGAAGCAGGGTCCTAATAGGTCTCCTGCCCTGTCTTCCCCAGCCCCTGCAACTGGAGGAATTACCACCCCACCTCAGATGACAGAAATATGGGGGACAGAACCAGGCCTTTGTACAGTGGTGCACAACTGCAATCCCAGTATTCAGGAGGCTGAGGCAGAAGGATCATGACCATGAGTTTGAGGCCAGCCTGGGCTATACAGCAAGATCCTCTCTCAAAAAACAAAAGGGGCCTGGGGATTTAGCTCAGTGGTTCCGCCACCTGCCTCGAAAGTGCAAGGACCTGAGTTCGATCTCCCCGGCACAAAAAAAAAAAAAAAAAAGGGACAGGCCTGCCACTCAAGAATGGACCTGCCAAACGCAGAATGTGGGCAACCATCTTTGAAGGTCCTGCAGTGGAAGAAGAGGCTAAGAGGGACTCAGGGACCATGCCACTCGGCCTTTGCATCCCAGGTCAGTGACACCTGGATGGGCTTGAACACCAGAGAAGGCGGCCGGGACCTATGATTTTTTTTTTTTGGTACTGGGGATTGAACTGGGGTCCTTGCACTTGTGAGACAGGCGGCAGAGCCACTGAGCTACATCCCTGGCCCTGGGGCCTATGATTGATATTATATTCAGAAAGCATGGATATGGTTAGTATTCATTACTTTCTTGTATAAAAATAAAAGCTAAGGGCGGGGGAGCAGCTCAGTGATCATGTGCTTTCCTAGTATGCTCCAGACCCTGGGTTTAGAATGGGGTGTGGTGGGGAGCTAAAATGTCCTTACAGGAGAGCACTGTCCCCCCTCATCTATAAACGGAGGTTATCGCCGACACTGGATGAAAACAAAATCGGATGTGTTTGCGTGGTTTCTCTGTGCAAGCAGCACTGGGTGAGGGGACAGACCCTGCCCCCTGAGCAGTGACCCCTCTGCCCCACCCCATGAGGGTCACCTGCACCTTTGACAGACAAGAGGTGGTGTTAGGACTGGCTCAGAGTGGGGCTGCACCCTCGGGGCGCCCTGCGGTCAGGTCTGCGTGGACACTGGGGGCGTCACCCCACTCCAACCCCAAATCTACACTGCGGCCTGGATGCAGACCCCTTCCCTGGGACACCCAGCACTGTTCTTCTGGGTAAACTCCTGGGCAGCTGGTGGGCGGGCCTGAGCCTGCCTCCCATACCTGCCCACCCCCAGCCTGGGCAGCCATGGCCACTGCACCAGGTCGTTCTGTGGCCCAGGCACCATGGGCAGGAGGGCAGGAATCAGCAACTTCTCATACCCACTCCGGGTGTCCTAGCAGACTCTGTGCCAAGGGGCTCACGGGGAGAGCCAGGGAAGAGCCCTCAAGTGTGAAGGCCACAGATGCTGGAGGCATCTGGGGCATCGCACGGACAGCTGGGCAGCAGGGCACCACAGAACGATGGACTTAGACCAAAGACGAGCTGACTGCCCCCTCCCCAGCAAGCTGTCTAGGTATGCCCAAGCGCTTCGGGCCCAGCAGCAATTCCAGGGAGGGGCTCTGGACTATGAGCCACACCCCACTTCACACAGCGGAACAGGGAGGCTGGCAGTGATGTGTCCAGGGCTCACAGCAAATGCATGGCTGGAGCCCCGATTCCAAGCCTGAAGGATGGTGGGTTGAAGTTGGGGGTGGTGGTACACACCTGCACAACCAACTACTCGCGAGGCTGAGATAGGATTGCAAATTCAAAGACAGGCTGGGCAATTAACCAAAACCTACCTCAAAATAAAATTTTAAAAAGGGCTGGGGATGTAGCTTAGTGAGAGGATCTAGGCTTGAGCCACAGCGCCATGGCACAGAGTAGGCCAGGTTTCCTGCAGGAAGCCGAGCACATCAAGGGCCAGGAACACCAAGCACTCAGCCCCAGGTGGCCACCCAGAAAGTGGGTACTAAGTGCTACTTCAAAGAAAAGGAGGCTCGGAGACTTGGCAGCTTGCTCCCGGTCGGGGGTGCTTGGGAAGGCGGCCAGCCCCAACAGCGTGACTGCAGCGGTCTCACCCCGTTCCCCTGCCGACCCCAGGGCAGAGGGCACACAGGTTGGGGTCTCGTTTCTTCCCCACCCTCCATGCAGCAGGACGCTGCGTGTGTGCTGCTGGCAAGGAACCCACGAGAGCTGTGTGCCCACCCGGCTGGCCTTCATCTCTAGGCTACACCCACCCCCTTCTGGTCCCAGACTGGGAGACAACTTGGGTCACGCAGCCTGAGACTCCACAGCCTCTGCCAAAGGCCTCACAGATCCCCAGGCCCTAACAAGGCCACGTGTTTCCAGGGGGTGGCCTGGCACCTGGCTGCAGCGACCGCTGGCAGCAAGCAGCAGCTGTTTACCACAGCCACTGCCCCTTCCTGTGCCTCCCTCCCTGGAGACACCTGACCCCCCCTCAGGAGTCCATGGGCCACTCAAGCCCCGGAATACTTTTCTGGGAAAGGGTGTTCCTGAAATAAATTCCAGTTTGGCTTTGTCTCAGAAGCAGGAGACTTCCAAGGCTGTTTCCATGTCTGAAGGTCAAGTACAACTGGGTTTCTCCTGGGGCCCAGAAGCCACCCCTTTACTTGGACGGTAGAGGAGCTAACTCCCCCAGGGGTGCACTGCTTGTGCCACAGAAAGTGGGTGAAGGGAATGGGCTTGCGGGGGTCCCTGCAGCCCTGCAAGGACAGCGATTACCCTGAGCACCTCTGGCGCCCCCCAGGACACATCCCACACTGCAGGTCCAGGGGTCCACTCGGAAGTGCTGGATTCAGAGTCAGCACCAGGCCTGGGAATTCCAGCATGCTGTGTGCTGTGGGGCAGGGGCCTGACAGACCGCCACGAGGCCGATCCCAGTGCCACCCACCTTTATTCACGGACCCTCAGGCTCCAGAGCCACAGACACTTGGCTTCCAGAGGGCACAGGAAGAGAAGGGCCCTGGTGACCTCCCAGCACACTCCAGAGAGCCAGGACGGGCCTGGCAGCACCACCACCTCAGGGTCAGCCACAGAGCCCCTCCCCAAGGGCAGCGGGGTTGCAGCCACAAGGCTGCAGGCGCCAGGCGGCCAGGCTTGGTTGCTGGGGCCCTTTAGGGATGCCAGCACTGTCCCAGGCCCAGAGAGCTGGTGCCATCCTGAAGCTGAGGCAGGGAAGGGGCAGGCTGGATGGTGAGGATGAAGGAAGAACCTCCCCAAGTCTTCAGGCCAGAGGAGCAGCAAGGGGCTGGGGCACCCAAGCTGGATGCAGGTGGGGCTGCACGTGTCCTACTTCCTGGTCACCTCCAGGACAAACCAGTCAGTCCCACCAGCTGCGAAGCAGAGGCCCCTCCCCTCCTGATCCCGACCGACCGACCGACCCAGTGCTGGCGGGGACAGCAAGATGGGGGCGGGGCAGGGGATGAGAGGGGCTGGGGTCAGCTGTGGGGCAGGCAGAGCCAGACGGCACCCATGGAGCAGCCGGGGGAGGACGAAGGGCAGGGTGGGCAGGCCACAGCCCCTCCAGGGCCAGGGAAGGAGGGACCAGGGGGCAGGGCCAGGCCTCGGCCATCCATCCTGCCGGCCCTGAGGTGTGCGCCCACGGGAGCACAGTGCCTCCCCTCCCAGGAACGGGGCCCGTAGCATAGGGGAACCAACATCCGGTGACCCCGCTCTCGCAGAGCCCGGGGAGGGGCACTGGGCACTTTAGGACTTCTTGGTGTCCTGCGTGGTCCGGCGCTTCAGGTCGCTCAGGTCGATGGGCTTGAAGGCTGTGAGGACAGTGCAGTCAGCACCGGGCAGGGCCCTGCAGCCCTACCCCGAGGCCCTCGGCTCAGATGTCTGGGGACGGGACGGGCGACCGAGGAGGAAGCGGGTGGCCGTGCCACCCTCCCACCCACTCACTCTTCAGGCCGGGGTTGGGGACCTTCTCCACGTACTCCTCCACCAGGCCCCGCTCGCCGCCCGACAGCTGGCTGCGTAGGTCTCGCTCCACACCCTGCCAGGCTGTGGCAAGCAGAGGGCAGCGGGTCAGGGTCCCCAGAGTCCAGGCCCCGGACCCTCCACTGCCCTGGAAGCATCCCTTGCCCCTACCCATCTCCTGCCAGCCGACAGTGCCCTCCAGCGCCCGGCCTCCCCACCCCACCCCTCCGCAGGCCTGACTCCTCTGTGCGATGGCCCGCCTGAGCCTTCCCGGGCTTCCACGAGCTGAGCTGCAGACAGCACGTGGACCTTGGCTGATTTCCCGCCTCTGCTGGGTGTGCAGCTGGGTGCGCCCCATCCTCACCAGCTCCCTCAGTGCCCCAGCCAACACCCCAGTGCGGAGAGCAGGCCTCAGACGCTGGCTGCTGCCCACTCCCCATGCCGTCCTCTTCGGCTGTCACCCTAAACTGCCTGCCCCCGCAAGGGTGTAGGCGTGACGGAGGTGTCCACACCTTGCTGGGGACAGCAGACAGGAAAGGGCTCGAGGAAGTTCCTGACCTTCATAAATGAAGCGCACATTCTCCTCGTGGGCCGGTGTGAAGATCTCACTGCTGTTGGTGGGAGACCGGGGGCTGCTGTTCCTCTTGCCGTTGTAGACAACTCTGGAGACAGGAGAACTGGGGAAGCCTGGCACATGAGCATGGGACTGGGCCATAGGGCAGCTGGCCATACCCCACCCAGGAGGAGGCCCCCACCTGCCAAAGACCCACCTGGTCATCGCTGAGATGTCTGGTCCCAGCGCTTTGCTGCTGAATCCCCTCAGGCTCTGAAAGCGAAGCCCCAGAACACAGGAGTGAGACGGAGCGGCACTCGGCCGGGCATGGTGGCATACACTCCTAATCCCAGCACTCAAGAGGCTGAGGCAGGAGAATCACAAGTTTGAAACCACCTTGAACTACATAGTGAGACCCTATGATTAAAAGGGCATGCGCATGTGCGAGGGGGCATGATGGGATAATTTTTTAGGGTGGTGGGGGAGACGGTGGGATTTGGCAGGGGTATTCCCATGAGGAGGTGGAGAGGAGCCTCGTGGACAGGAGAGGGATGTGACACGCTGCCATGCATCGAGGGGAGGGAGCCAGTGTGTGTGTAAAGCAGGCCAGGCAGCTCTGCAGCCCTGTGCAGAGAAAAAAAAGAGAAAGGAAGGGACAAGGAAAAAAGTGAAGATAGAAGGAAAAAGTGGAAGCAACACTTTTGTACACAGAGAGGGGAGGGGGATTGAGGGGGGAATAGGATAAAATAAAATGAAACAAAATTTATTTTAAAAAGGGGCCGGGGGCCGGGGATTTAGCTCAGTGGTTTTGCTGCCTGCCTGCTGTGTAAGCGCAAGGACATGAGTTCGATCCCTGGTACCAAAAAAACAAAACAAAAACAAAAACAAAAGCAGCCCATCATACTATACCTTTGGGCTGGGGATTTAGCTCAGTGGTTCTGGTGTCTGCCTCCCAAGCCCAAGGACCTGAGTTCAATCACCCGTACCAAAAAAAAAAAGGGGGCCAGGAGGGGCCAGGGATTTAGCTCAGTGGTTCTGCTGCCTGGCTCACAAGCAAGCGCAAGGTCTCGAGTTCGATCCCAGTACGGAAAAACAAAAGAAAAGGAGCGTCATCCCCACTGGTTGGGGGGGGGGCGGTGAGTACATCCACGGCCTCCCTCTGTGATCAAACCATGAGGTTCTGCTGCCCACCCTGGCTGGGCTCCCACCCTCGTTATCAGGAGACTCTAAGCGATCCCAGGCAGGCTACAGACATGGGAGCCCCAGCAGATGGGGACGGGACACCAGCCGGCCAGACAGGGGCGTGCCCGGAGCAGTGAGTCACGAGCCCGGCCTGCATCCCTGCCCAGCTCCTGTTTTAGCCAGTGAGCAGGGCCGGGTTCCCAGCTCAGCCTGCACTGGCTGCAGGGCTGGGTGTGTTGTTTCTGCTGAGCCTTGGCTTCCTGACTGTAAAATGGGGATGAGCTTCCTGCTGGTGAGGAGCCCAGTAGACAGGGCATGAGGTCAGCTCCCTGGCCCCTAAGGCAGGGGTGTGCAGAGTTGGCATCCCCAGATGGGCTCAAGCTAGGCCAGGGGAGGGGCCCTGGGGGAGGGGCCGCAAGACCCAGTGACCAGGATCCCACAGCCCTGGGGGCGGGGTCGAATTTAGGGTCAAGCTCTCACCTTGGCTGCCTGAGGTACCTAGCTCCAGAGCAAGGAAGCAGCCACACAGGGCTTAGGCCTGGCCTCACCAGCACAAGTGCCCTAGGCCCAGAATTGCCACACAGCCCGGAGGGCACAGCTGCAGCTCTCCCGGAGGCCAGGAAGGCCACGGGGGCAACACACTGCTATCCTAGGTTTAAACACAGCACTGGTGAACATGAGCCCGCAGCCAAGGGCAAGAAAAACAAAATAGAGCAAAGCCAGCTCCCACAAGGGCACCAGACTTGGTTGCTCCCAGCCACAGGAGGTGCACAGCTCCTGCATCCAGGAACTGGTGCTTTCTGAGACTCCAGGGTCTCTCTGCCCGGTCCTACCAGGAGCTGACAGCCCAAGAACACCATGGCACAGGGACAGCCCTGGGGCCTGACAATGACAGAGGGACAAGTCGGGGAAGCTCTGCAGCCCCAGTTGAAGACCCTCCCAAGGTCAGTGCTCGGGCGAGTGGATTGCCAGCACCTGCCTCATGGCCGAGGGCCCAGAGCGCCTTCTGTCCCCTACAGTCTGCCCTTTTCTGCTGGGACTGACTGCTCCTTGCGTGGCTTCTGCCACCCAGCCTGCCTCCTCTGTTTTTTTGTGGGTTTTTCGGTACGGGGGATCGAACTCGGGACCTTATGCTTGAGAAGCAGGCAGCAGAACCACTGAGCTAAATCCCTGGCCCTAGCGGGCCTCCTCTGGCACCGGTCCTCCACACAGCCTCAGGGGCAGCTTCCAGGCTGCGAGGCTTTCACATATGCCATGCCCTTCGCCTGGGTCCCCTTCTGGCATCACTCCAGCTGGCAGCAGTTTGTGTCTGGCTAAGCAGAGTGAAACCTGAGCATGTTTACTGAGCAGGCTGAGGAAGCAGGCGTGCCTAGAGGCTGGCATGAGGGTCCCAGGACCACCGCTGGCAAAGCGGGCCAGGCAGGAGAGGACCTGGGCCTGCAGAAGTGCCAGGGATGCCTACTGATCCGCCAACCCAAGGGGTCACTGGAGGGTGCCGCCTGTTGCTCAGCAGCCCAGGGACGGAGTAGGGTGGGAGGGGTGGACTCCCTTCAGACTGAGAGGACCCCAACTGAGAGGTCTTGAGAACCCACACAGCACACTGCTCTGCAGCCCCACCAGCAGGACAGCAGGAGCGGGGGCGCGAGGGGAGCCTCCTCCAGCTCCACACCCAACACCTCCAGCCCTTGTGTCCTCTCAGTCACAGTCATCATACCACATTCATCTACTCTAAGATGCTTCCCCCCGCAAACCTTGAAATTGGCCCACGCCTGGCGATTACTCTCATGTCAAAGTCTGGCCATGTTCTCTCCTTGGTGGACCACAAAATAAGGTGCAACTCCCAACGGAAGTGTTTCAGACCAGATGAGCCTGAGGGGTGGTCTCCTGGTCCAGGGACCTTTCCTAACCACCCCCCACACCCTTCTTTCCATCCACTGCGCCCACCACCGATGTGCACCCCTTGACGGTACCAGTCTCTCCGGATTGAGAGTGAGCGCACAGACGCCAGAACCATGTTCCCAACCTCTCCCGACGTCACTCACCAGTGGGCCACCGTCCAACCCCTCTGCCAAAATCAAGCCCAAGGACCAGATGTTTCATATTTTCTCAGGTCTCATCTGCTGCTCTACTCCCTAACCCCAAATGTAATCTCTGCCACAGAACCACTTTCCACCTGGCACCCCAGAGGACTTGACTGCTATAACTGCGGAGCCACAGAAGCAGAATAAACCTGGTCATCCATCCCTCTCTGCCCCGGCATCCTCATCTGAGGCAAAGCAGCCCACAGTGTGCTTGCCAGGCCCTCTTGCTCCAACATGGATAGAAGCATAGCCACACGAAGCCTCTACCTCAAATAAAAGCTCTCTGGCTCCTCCTCCCTGGCAGGGTGATCATACCTATGGCCCTGGGGACACTGCTGGTTACTAAGCATGAGATAGGAGAGTTCTGGGCAAATTGGAATGTAGGACCAACCAACTCCTAGGGAGGCAGAGACTCAGCCTGAAGAGACCATACTGCCCACAGCAGACACCTGCCAGGGGCTGGCCACAGGGCACTCCCTGTGCTGGGTGCTTCACTGCTCAGGTGCCCAGAGTCGGCCAGGAATAAGGCTCCTGACAACCCCCACTTCAGAGGGTAAAGCCACCCAGCACTGGTGGACTCTACAGTGACCCCAGTACTGTCCCACCAGGGCCTCTAGAGCCATAGCAGCTGGGCAAGACCCAAATGCTTAGGCTCCTGAGCCCCCCTCAACTCTATCTCCTGTGGCGTCAAGGCCTCTCACACACTAGGCGTGCATTCCACCACGGAGCTATACCCTATCCCCCGCCTTAACTCCTGCCTGCACCCCATGGTGGGCTCTTGGATGCCCCAAGATGGCCCCCTGCCAATGACATCCGTGTGGCTCTGCTCAGAGACTGGCCCTCCACTCCAGACAAGGCGAGGGTCTCAAGTGGGTCATTGTGAAAGTTCCTCTCTGTGGGACCCAAGGGCTTCAGAGACTTCGGGGGCGGGGGGGCGCTGGGCATGGAGGGACAACAGCAAGTCTTCTCAGGACTCGGAGGGTCTCCCTGGATGCCACCCACCCCAGGGAAACTGCATACGTAGGTGACACTCCTGTCTCCCAAGCAGTCCGACGGCACAATGGCTGGTCCTTCTGTGTTCCTTTGGAGTTTCTGGTATTGAAACTTCCCTAGGTCTCATTTCCATGCTGTGTCCTTTTCAGTCAATGAGACTACCAGAAAGTGCCCTACCAGCCAAGCAGGTGCCAGAGGGACGCTGTTGTGGCAGAGGCCAGATAGACCAGGTGCTCCCCTAAAGCCCTCTCTGCCCTGCCCATCGCTTGCTGGCCTCTTCCATCACTCCACACCCGGAGGTCCAGGCCACCGCCGACGCCCCCAGGTGGGGGGTTGCCTTCCCTCCTACCCCAACTCTCACCCTCTAAATGCCCTCAACAATCCCTGCCTGGAAGTCCACTCACCAACCCTCACCTGCATCTCAGGGGCCTTTGCTTGAACCTGCCCTCCGCCCAAAACTCAGCCCACGCAGTCTCGGGAGCGGCGGAAAGACCACCATTTCTGGGAAGCCTATCCTGGGGAGTATGGGCGCGTTCTGGCCCCTGTGGCCACTGCCATGACATTTGTGGGCGTCCCTGCGGTCCTGTCCGGTTACTCTGCCCAGCGGGCCTGGACGGTGCCACGACCCCGAAGAGCAAGGCAGAGGGAAGGGGAAGGAAGCTCAGAAGGGCCAGCGCGGTCCAAGAATCCGGAGACATCCTCTTAACACCCCCTGGGCCGCGGGGACAGCGGACATCGGTCCACCTCGGTGCCCGGGCGGAAGGGCCCTGTCCACGGCGGCCACCCTCCCGGGCTCACGCGGGACCTGCCCGGCCCTCCCCGCCCACCCGCCCGGCGACAAGGCGACACCAGGGAGGGGCGGGG